CCCCAAAACCCCAAAACCCCAAAACCCCAAGTTAGTAACTTCTTATTGATCTGTATAAAATAATCAATAATCTTCCTAATTATGCACACATTATGCAGAAGGTTTATTCTTTAATCTCCTTGGCCTCTTCAAGACTTAAGTCATCATCTTCTTCTCCTTGATATTTATGATTGATAGAAGAGTAAAATGAAAATTGTTGAGCTTCCTTCTTCGGTGCAATCTTCTTCACCTTCTTCTGATATTTAGCATAATTAGGAATAGTTTTGTCCTATAAAAGATTGAATAATGGAGTTTACCATAAAGCATTCCTGAATAATCTCCTCTTTGCTCTCTTCAGGGAATTCCAGTCTATAAGTTTCTTCTTCCTGATTTCTGTCTGATAGTCTCCCTTCAGTGTCAACATATTGCTTTCGAGGAGGATCTAATGTATTCATCTCCTCATTATTATCCTCTTCCTCGAAATGATTCATATTTTTGGGAACTATTTTAGATGAACTATCCTCATCTGAGATAGCAAATGATTCATCATTTTCTTTATTTGGACTCACTCCAGTCGGAGGTTTAGCATGAGGAATAAGATCTGGAATACTTCCTCTGCTTCGTCTATAATTGAGCAACTCAATAGATATTCCTTTTTGTTGACTCATTCTAGTGGTGACTCTCTTATATTTTATCCATTTTGATATAATCCTGGCAACAATGATCTTATCAACTGTCGATACAATGTCTTGCTTTGATACATTTTTATACCTACTATCCCACTTCTTCCTCAACTTCCTTTCTAAAAATTACAGAAGGGATTTACTGAGGATTCCGTCAAGCTTTTCATTGTGAGAAGAGTTATTTAATTAACCTTTTACACACATCCTTGAAGTGTACCCGCCCGTCATCATATACTGGAATATTGAAATCCTTTAGAATCTTAAGCCAGAGTCCTTCCCGCAGTAATATCTTCTTCTTCAGATGATAGAAGTATCTTTTATTGTGTTCTAAATATTTCAATGGGATACTTACCTTTGTCTTTGATTATTAATATCTCTCTTCATTCTTTTAAATGTTCTCCGTTTTGTATTTCTTCCCCAAGTTCTACCAAAGCTTCTATTGAGTTTTGTTGCATTCTAGCCTTGTACATAATATCGTAATTTTGTTTATAATTTGTAGGTACTTCGCTTCCAAGTCCTATAGGTTTTGGCAGCTCAAAAATTAAGAAAACATAAGCATCAATAGAGACCCATCCAGTAGCTTTTGGATCGTAATCAGACCATAAATCAATAAATGTGTTAATATTTTCACTACTAATCAGAGCACCTTCGTCTTTTCTAGCGGAAGAGAGACCATCAATTACAGCAGCCACAGTCAAGTTCATAGCAATGAATGTAATTATCAATACAAAAGTGGTAAAGTAGGGAATTGAAAAGTCAGATCCTCAACCAAGTACATCATCTCTTTGCATTTCATCATATGTTTGGGCATTTTGTCATTTCACTCCTTCAAATTCGCTTGTACTTCCAAGATCGTTCATGACCAAGTTCCAATCTTCTCCTGTAGCTCACCTGAGTAGGATGATTATTGAGAAAAAGAAGTTCCTAAAATTACTCAATCTGTTGTAATTTTCTCTATACATTACAGGTGCAAACAAAGAGATTCCAAGGCAAGAGTAAATAAAAAGCAGTAAGAAGATAAGACTCATGATATTGGTAATCTGAGGGATAATGTATACCAAAGCGTCTAGTATCATCTTTCCAAAGGACTTCATCAATCGGAAGATTCTCAAGATTCTAAATGCTCTGACCACAGTTGCAGCTGTTGAGATATTTACACCGATAAAAATATTGATCATGAAACCAATATCCGTCCCAACTACTATCAAAAAATCAAATTTATTCCAAGCTCCTTTAAAATAATGGATCCCATTGCCTATCATTTTGAGGATCATTTCAATGTTGAAGATAATGCTGAATACATAATTGATTGTTTCTAAAGTGAACTCATAAGTGTCTGACATTCTTGCATATCTCATTGACATTAAAAGAGTGTTCAATAAAATTCATATCATGATAAAAACTTCAAAATAACGGTGATTGACAAGGAAATAAGCCTTTTTCCTTCATTTAGACTTTGGTTCTGGAGCTTTAAATCTCAAGGATTGTCTTAGCATAATATGCTGAATCTCAACCCATTTCTTTTGATTTTCTGTAATAAAGAGTCCTTTACCTCCTATTTCTTCTGACTCTTTTATCTTATTAAAGTTATCAATGATGACACCAACAAATAAATTGATGATAAACAGAGAACCTATCACCATGAACCACACAAAATAGAAGATCATCCAGATATGATAATTAGTTTCAGGTTGCTTGTCTATACCTCTGGTGTCAACGCCTCTGTTCATAACACTCATCCAGCCTTCAGTAGTTGTCATTTGGAATAGAGTAAACATTGCATTAATTGTATTGTCAAAATTAACATGGTAGTTTTTCCAGCTGCCTCCCTGGTCTATACAGTCTTGCTTAGTTTCGATGGTTTGGAGTACTTCATTGCTCAGATCTTCGCAAGCGTAGTACGCCCCTTTGAAGAAATCTACTCCCATAATAGCGAAAATCAGTAAGAATAGTATTCAAACAAGAAGAACATTAGCCATAGCTGGAATTGATGAAATTAGAGCGTTTATTGATATTTTAAGACCCTCATTTCTACTAATCATTCTCAAAGGCCTCAATGCTCGAATTGCTCTCAAAGCCTTAAGGCTTTTCAGCTGTTCTGTATTAGGGCCACTAGAGGAAACAGTGAATCCAAAGTCTATCAATGAGCTAATGACTACAAATAAGTCGAGAATATTCCACGCGTTCAGTATATATGGAGATATTCCAGGAAAATTATTATGCACAAACCCTAGAGCAATAATCTTTAAAATAGCTTCAACAAGAAACAGAAAGGTGAACACATAGTCTAAGTTCTTTAGCACAATAAAGAATATAGAGTCTGGGTTTGACAAAGGAGTATCTACTCATAAAAGTATGGATGAGGCTAGAATCAGCCCAATGATTATCGACTCAAAAATCTTAGAATATTTAATATGTTGTGCATCAGTGAGTAACTTCCCTTCAACTATTTGTAAATTCTTGATATGGTATGATTTCTGAAGATTTTTGATTCCAAACTCCTCTGAATTTTTCAATGCTTGGTCAAGCTCGATTAAGTTTTCAGAGCCAAGCACAAGGGTTAGTAAGAATTTTCTCATCTCCCATTTCTCATTAAAAATAAATAGAGATGAGGTTTTCATAAAACTGAAATAACTGTCTTTTTGGATTCTGTCAACTTCACTTATTGGGTTTTCTTCCATAATTTCTGACATTTTTCATGAAGACCTAGAATTTATTCAAAAATTACTTTGAAGAAGGATCTTTCGCTCTCGATAAGTTTGCAAACTTGTATCCATTAGCCTTCATTTTCTCCTCTTCTTCAATATGCAATATTGAGGACATATCTTGTCTTGATGTTTTGCCTAGAAAGATATGAAGAGAAATTACTTCTCAGTAGCATTGCACTTTTATTATCAGTTCTAGATTTAGGAGTAACTTTATTCGACTTCTGGTCCATTCTCTCATCATACGCTCTTCCATCCTGTTGATTGGCTGGGACGTCATTTCTTTTCTTTTTTTTGCTAATTTTCTCCTCTTCTTCATCTTTGGAGTTGTATGGAATATTCTCTAGAGCTCTTAATGATAAATCATCTTTAGAATTATTTGAGTTGTTTAGATCATCTTCTTCTAACTCAGGGATAATCTCAGAAGGAGCTAAACAAGTTATGAGCAAAGTTACCTTGAGGAAGAATAACTTTTGGAGGTACAGGGAGTGAAGACATTTTTACAAACTTAGAGTCTTTTGAACTTCTAAAATCGTTCTCCAGCCCAATGCCAGGTGCTTTACTCGTAACACTACTAATTGTATTTTCTCTTTTAAAGACTATCTTATTTATTGATTCTTTATTATTCTTTGAGCCCCTATAGAATGAAGAAATCCTTACAATATCCCAGTATAGGCAATGACTTGTTCTGAAACTTTCCCAAGTACAAATCTCAAACTCTCTTTTAATCCCATTCCTTTCTTTTTACATAGTTGTAGTTCAGATAAAAGCTTCTTTTTGTTCATATAGACTCTTGCATTGTCGAAATTTCCAAGTAGAACTGCAAGGAAAAGATTAAGCATAATGATACTCCCACTTACCACCAGGGATATAAAGTATAGAGCTGAAATATCTCCTACAGCACGCATTCAGTCATACATAATCACATTCCAGTTGTCTCCGATAAGAATCTTAAATATTGTGAGAAATGACCACCCAATGTTATCAAAATTTTCACGAATAGAAGTACCGTTGACTGTGTCATGGTTTCCGTCTTCATCAAATTTTAATTTCCCTGCAAAGAACTGCATTCCTAGCAAAGCATAGATATAAATGAATAACACCAAAAGAACAACATAATTGCCAATAGATCCAACTGTCATTGTGATGGAGTCCAGTAAGACTCTGAGATTCCCAACTCGGAAGATTTTGAAAATTCGGAACAATCTGAAAGCTCTTAGAGCTGAAAAACTTGAGTTCCCACTTGAAATGAACAACTCAAGGACAGAGAATATTACGATCAGCGTGTCGAATAGGTTGAATCGATCTCTTGAAAATTCTTTCATTCCTTTCCCAATGATTTTCAAGATAACCTCAAAAGCAAAGATTATGGTAAACACTAGATTGCAGATATCCAAGAAGTTAGTAACACTATCATCATATTCTGGATATTTCTCCAACGCAAGCAGAATAGTGTTGACAATGATTCAGAGGAATATAAACGAGTTGAACAGAGGGGCTTCTACAAGAAGGAAGAAAAATCTTGTAAACTTAAACGAATGATATTTACCATTTGGAATAACAACATCAGAATTGTATATAAAGTTCTCATACAACATCAATTTTAGATTGGCCTTCCAACTTTCCTTACTTTGTTTCTTCTTTTTAACAGTTATATCATGGTTAATTAAAAACTCTGTGAGCTCATTAGGCAATCCTGCCTCTTTACCAAGATCAACGAGCTCATTGATCATTTCTTGATCTCCGTGAGAAGAGGATATTTCTTCATATTTATCAAGCATGATGGCAATTGTTAAGTTTAAAACAAAGAATGACCCAACCAGAAGCAAAAATATAAAATACAATGGAGCTATATATCTGGATGATGAATTTTGATAGATATACATAATATTAGTCCATCCTTCCATTGTAGTTACCTGAAAGATAGTTAAAAATGCATAAGCAATATTGTCGAAGTTAGTGAAGCCCCAATTGAGGTTTTCAATTTTTGTATCTCGATATAAATCGGATACATTAACAGTTCCATGAGTATCATGCTGGTCAATCAAAGAACCACAGTAAGTTCCTTCAGGTCATGCACGGTCGCCTCATGTTGTAAAATCATCAGGAGCGACAATCCAATCTCCATTTACAGGAGCAGGAGTTATTCTTCAACGATAATGAATTTCACCAGCCCAAAGGGATATACCAAGTATTGCAAAAATAAGCAGAAAGAAAAATGCAAAAATAAGTATTTCTCCTAATCCAACTACTGATGAAAGTAATGTACCGATCAGAAGTTTCATTGATCCCAAGGACGTGAGACTTCTCAAGGGTCTGAATAGTCTAAAAGTTCTAATACTTGAGTAATTTGAAAAAGATGGTAGCAAACTCAATAAACTTGTAATTACTACTACAAAGTCAAGCCAATTCCAGGAATCTCTGAGGTATGTTCCCTTCCCGCCAATAAAGCCCATAGCAATGACTTTAATGATGCATTCCAGTGTAAAGAGGACTATAAAAATAGGTTCAGATTTATTCACAATCTTGTTTCTCCAACTTGTATTATTTTCATCAGTATAATCCATCATTCCCAGCATTAAGGAGTTAATAACAATTAAGGATATAATAAACCAATCAAATGGCTTCCAATATATAATTTTGATTCATAATTTTCTTATAAAATTTTTCTTTGACAAGAAGATCAGACTCTTATCTACCAATTCTTCTCCTGCAGTGTGCTTAGTTTTCACTTCAATCTCATCAAGGTCCTTTATCTTGATTTTAGGCCTTATTTTGTTACTTCTGTTCTGGAACACATCTGCGATAGAATGAAATTCTCCATGGATAGCATTGGAATACTTCATTATATTTCGAAGTTAAAATTTTATAATTTAAACTATTTTTTACTTGCTTCTCAAAATGGGGTTTTGGGGTTTTGGGGTTTTGGGGTTTTGGGGTTTTGGGG